GCGTGATTACGTCAGACGAGGCTACGCAACGCGTGATTACGTCAGACGAGGCTATGCAACGCGTGATTACGCCAGACGTCGGCGACAAGCTTTGCGGTAGTAAAAAGGAAGTGAAACTTGCTAACTAGCAGAGGCTAATCATCTCGGGACAATGGAGTGATTTTTTCTTGAATGCCTTGCTATTGGGCAAGTTGTAATTATTCTATCTATTCAGCTAGTACAGGCTATGTTTAACGCTGCCAGGAGACGTGGGGAAATAAAGCCATGTTTTCGCGCGTTTATGATAACATCCGGGACGAGGCTGGAAAGCAGAAACAGCTGAACCTTACGTGAGGTAAATATGCTCTACTTCAGAATTTATGCGGCAAACGTGTTTCCGTCTCCCATTTTGCGAGTTAACTACTCTGCGAATCATCCAAAAACCATCTCAAGCGAGCGTAAAAACTTTTTAGCGAATTGAGGATTTTTTTTCCGAATTTTGTTGTTTCCATCCGACTTTTTTTCCCCGCAATTTTAATGCGACACTTCTAAATGCGCATCAAAAAGCCTAGATGGAAACACGGTTAGCCCTGTGATGGACTCGCGACCTGTCCAGGGTGTACCCTGCCCCTCGCACTGTGACTGCTGGATATGGGCACCAGTGACCCGCGCGACCCTGAAAAGGAAGAAGCGTGTACAGAAAATGGATGGATGGATGGATGGATGGAAACACGGTTAGTGACCTTTTTTGAAATTGAATAATTTTGCTGAAAAGCAACAAGTTGGCAAGTATGAATAACAACAAGCACGGCTCAGTGGGAGGAGGTGGAAAATGAAAAATAATCAATACTGCAAGAAAGACGGGAAGAAGAAGAAAGACACTAGAAGACATACTTTGGAGCGCTGAGGAGGGACAGAAATGTTGCATTTAGGAGAGGGAGGGGTGAAGAGTGTGTGCCGGTCGTATGGAGGACACACGTCCACTCTCTGCCAGGGGGAGGGGTGATGAAGAGATGGAATGAGAAAAGGGAAGAGAAAAAGAGACAAGTTTAGAGCTTGTGCAGAGGGAGACTCGTGGATGGGTGAAAGAAGAGGAGGTTAACCTTTAGAGATGACATAAGGCTGGTTTGGCTGTCTCTGTCTGACGTGTCATCAAAGAAAGGCTGCAGGCTGGCTGGAGCCGTGTGGGACAAACTGGGCTGGGGGACACCACTGGTGTCCAGGTGCAGCCCGGCCTTCTGTCCCTAAGGAGGACATAAAAAAATAAATAAATCAGGGAATAAGGAGTAACAGTGTAACTGCTGAGTCAGCATTAATGCTGCTTTCCTGTTCATAGGTTCATCTGTAGGTTTTTGCAGTTTAACTACGTCTACACACTTTGTGGCCTGACCTTGTCTTCCTACACTGTTCTGTTTGATTCTAACCTCTGCTGCATCTGACATTTCTGCAGTAGAATTTCAACCGGGCCAATCAGTGAACAGGAGGAGTTCTGAACAAGGACGCTGATTTTCTGCACTTTTAGTCTGCATGTAGTTCAGCAATGGCAGCAGAGGAAGTGAATGAACATATTGATCATAATCAAAATTATTTATTTTTTTATTAATGGAATATTTCATTTACATCCACTTATCTACACATTTTTTAAACAGCCCCCACTTTTGTTTTTTACATTTTAATAACCCCAGAACTCCCCAGTCCATTCACAACCCTAATCAGAAAGAAGTATCCTACGTTTTGATGAGTAATCTTTTAATAACAGCAATCAAGACAACCTTTCAGCTCTCACAATGAAGTCTGTGAAGTGAATACAATCTGACCGATAGCTGACATGCTTTAAGGGTTTTCTTTCATCTCTCACAAGTCTTAACACCATCCTATAAGTTCTTATGAAATGCTTTAAATTTGCCCAATACTGCCCTCTAACAGCACGTCACATTTCAGTTTCACCTAATCCAGTAGGAAAAACACTAGTTTATCACAGAAATAAAAGATTTTCTTCCTCTAGTTTTAGGTTAGAGCTTATGTTTTGTTTGTTTTAGCTAATGTTCTGCTCGTTTTAGCTTATGTTCTGCTCATTTTAGTTTATGTTCTGCTCATTTTAGCTTATGTTCTGCTCATTTTAGCTTATGTTCTGTTTGCTTTAACTTGTGTTCTGTTCGTTTTAGCATATGTTCTGCTCGTTTTAGCTTGTTTTGCTTCTTTTAGCTCATGTTCTGCTAGTTTTAGCTTATGTTCTACTTGACTTAGCTTATGATCTGCTTGTTTTAGCTTATGTTCTACTTGATTTAGCTTATGATCTGCTTGTTTTAGCTTATGTTCTACTTGATTTAGCTTATGATCTGCTTGTTTTAGCTTATGTTCTACTTGATTTAGCTTATGTTCTGCTTGTTTTAGCTCATGTTCTACTTGATTTAGCTTATGTTCTGCTCGTTTTAGCTTATGTTCTGTTTGCTTTAGCTTATGTTCTGCT